GTCTAGACTGAGAAGAGGGATAGCTGGGTCAAATTTGGTTCCATTCCCAATTTTCCAAGAAGTATCCATACTGCTTTCCACATTGGCTGCACCAATTTGCAGTCCCACCAGCAATGTATGAGTGAGTGTACCTTTTCCCCGACATCCTGGCCATCACTTATTGTTGTTTCTCTTCATAATAGCTGCCATTCTGAGTGGAGTGAGATGAAATCTTAGAGTGGTTTTAATTTGCATTTCTCTAATTGGTAGTGATGATGAACATTTTTTCATATATCTGTTAATTGATTATATATCATCTGAGAAGTGTCTGTTCAGGTCCTTGGTCCATTTATTGATTGTGTTATTTGTTTTTTTAATGCTTAGCTTTTTTAGTTCTTTATATACCCTAGAGATTAGTGCTCTAGCTGATATGTGAGGAGTAAAGATTTGCTCCCAAGATGTAGGCTCTCTATTCACCTCACAGATTGTTTCTTTTGTTGAGAAGAAACTTTTTAGTTTGAATCCATCCCATTTATTGATTTTTGATTTTAATTCTTGTGCCACAGGAGTCTAGTAAGGAATTTGGGGCCTAATCTCACATGATGGATTTTAGGGCCTACTCTTTCTTCTATTAGACACAGGGTCTCTGGTTTTATTCCTAAGTCCTTGATCCATTTTGAGTTGAGTTTTATGCATGGTGAGAGATAGGGGTTCAACATACGGAAATCAATAAATGTAATTCATCACATTGCTAGACTTAAAGATAAGAATCATAGGTTCATCTGAATAGACGCAGAAAAAGCATTTGACAAAATACAGCACACCTTTATGTTCAAAACACTGGAAAAATTAGGGATAATAGGAACATATCTCAACATCATAAAAGCTATCTATGTTAAGCCCTAGGTCAACATCATTCTAAATGGAAAAAAAAAAAATTGAAGGCATTCCCTCTAAAAACTGGAACAAGACAGGGATGCACTCTTTTACCACTTCTATTTAACATAGTTCTTGAAACACTGGCCAGAGCAATTAGACAGATGAAAGAAATTAAAGGGATACACATAGGAAAAGAAGAACTCAAATGGGCACTATTTGCTGATGATATGATTATATGCCTAGAAGACGGTAAAAGTTTCACCAGAAAACTTCTAGACTAGTAAATGAATTTAGCAAAGTAGCAGGTTATAAAATCAACATCCATAAATGAAAGGCATTTCTGTATATCAGTGACAAATCCTCTGAAAGGGAAAAGAGGGAAACTACCCCATTTACAATAGCCTCAAATAAAAAATACCTGGGAATCAACTTAATGAAAGAGATAAAAGATCTATATAATGAAAATTACAAAACCCTAAAGAAAGAAGTCAAAGAAGACCTTAGAAGATGGAAAGATCTACCTTGCTCTTGGATAGGCAGAATTAACATTATCAAAATGACCATACTTCCAAAACCTCTATAAAGATTTAATGCAATTCCAATCAAAATTCAAATGGAATTCCTCATAGAAATAGAAAAAGCAATCATGAAATTCATCTGGAAAAATAAGAGACCCTGAATAGCAAGCAATCTGTAGCAGGAAGAGTGAAACAGGTGGCATCACTATACCAGACTTTAAACTATACTACCGAGCAATAGTAACAAAAACAGCATGGTATTGGCACCAAAACAGACTGGTAGACCAATGGTACAGATTAGAGGATACAGAAACTAACCCACAAAATTTCAATTATCTTGTATTAGACAAAGGTTCCAAAAACATGCATTGGAGAAAAGATAGCCTCTTCAACAAATGGTGCTGGGAAAACTGGAAATCCATATGCAAACTCATACATACTTTTGCTAATAATTATTCTGAGTTATAAAACAAATTCTACAATACTAATAAACATGTGCTAATATAATATATTATTATTGATACTGGTTTCTATAAATAATGATAAATCTTATGAACTCCTAATAACAGTACTAGAATCATAATGCCTCAGTATCATAAACTATAGAATTCTGAAACTGGTATGTTAAATCTTTGTTTCCTAAATGAGAATAGTTAATTCACCGATTATATTTCTAGGAGGTGCTAGAACTTTGTCTAGGAATGCTGTTTTAAAACAGAGAATCCTTGTGTGCAGGGAGGGGTTATTGTTCCAGTTTAGAGACTCAATAAGGCCAAGTGGCTTGTTTGGTATTTCTGAACAATAAGTTGTAAAGCTGAGCTTTGAACCTGTGGATTTCTTCCATGATGGCCACTGTCCTGTCACAGATGCATTTTGGGTAACTTATTTGGAGACTACAGTGATAGAAGAAATATACCTACACAGAGTGGATGAGATGAAGAAATATACCTACACAGAGTGGATGAGATGTGTTAGAAAAAGAAATTAATGTACTTTTGACAGAAATCTCATTCATTGTAAGCCTGTGAGTTTATGAATTCTTAATAAGATGATGGATTCTTAACCCCTACATGGTTTCAAAAGCAGTGAGTGATTTATGCCAATTTGTGTGATGAGACCTTCTTTATTTGTCTTTATGTTAAAGTATATAAATGTATATTGTAGTAGTTCACTGCATATTTTAGTTCTGGTCAGAGCTTAGTTTCATTTATTCTTTATTAGAATATAGAAAGCCACAGTGAAATACCGCCACAGTGAAATTCCACCACAGCTATTAGGACAGCTAAAATAAAAAAAAGTTATACCATATGTTGGATAGGTGAGGAGGAACCATCTCTTACACTGCTGATAGGAATGTGTAATTGGTATTGTCACTTTGGAAAATTTTGCCATTTTTTAACAAAAATAAACATGTACTATCCATATGACTCAGCAGTTGTACTCATTGGCATTTAACCCAGAGAAATGAAAAATTATGTTTCCATGAAAACCTTTACATGAATGTTTATAGCAACTATTTTTCTATAATGACAAAACACTGGAAACAATTTAAATGTCTTCTGGTGGGCAAGTGTTTAAGTCTGGTGGTGTGTTCTCAGAATGGAATGATAGTATTCACCAATAAAGAAGGAAAGAACTGTTGTTACATATGCAAACCTGCAATGATCTTGATAGCATTCAGCTGAACAGAATACAATCCATCTCGAATGGTTGTTATGTTGTATAATTTCATGTATAGGATATTCTTGAGATGACAGAACTTTAGAGTTAGAGAACAGATGAGTGATTGTTAAAGAACAGAGATGGAGGAGTGGGATAGCAAGTGAGCATTCATATCAAGAGAAAGCAACAGGAGACTTTGGTGGTGGTGGAACATGTCTGTATCTTGACTGGGGTGATAATTACATGAACCTATACATGGGATCAAATTGTTTAGAGCTATATACACAATCATGTCAATGCCAGAAGTCTAGTTCACAGTAATGTAACAGGGTCAGTTTTCTGGTTTTGATGATGCACTATAGCTATATAGAACCAGAGTAAACTATACATGGGGTTCTGTACTATTTTTGGAACTTTCTATGAGTCTACATTTCAAAATAAAAATTTTAATAACAGCAAGATAATGAAATACATGCAGATTTCCTAAAGTACCATCTTTTGTGCAACTTCAATTGCTTGTATATTTTAAGATCACTGCTATAATGTACAGCTTTTCTCAGTGGTTCTCCAAGCTAACCAGACTTCATAAAAACTTGGGGAACATTAATAAAACAAAATAGAGGTCCTAAATATCATCTCAGTCCTTCAGAATCAGAATCTCAGTGCATGGACTTAACAATATGCATTAAAACAAAACAGAACAAAACTACACTCCCAAGTCCTCTGATTGATACTTAACCCAACTTTGGTCATTACTATTTTACTTCATTCACTCCAAGGACCAGTGCTCAGTGCTTTGTGAACCTTCTCTAGGTCCTTTGGGTGTTCTTTCTCTCTGAAAGGAACCGTTTTCTTTTGATAGTTCTACAAGTGTACAATGTAGAGATTCAGGGACTCAAAATAGTCTCACATTGCTATACTTTTCCTTCTGAGCTTTCATCTCAGACATCATTTGTTTGCATATGTTTACATATGTTGTTTACATATGTTGTCCTAAAGACTTTTATTTAGGATCCAAAAAAAAAAAAAACAGAAGAAAGAATATTTAAAACAAGAACAATAAAAGATCGATTTTTCTAGAGTGTCCCACAAGATGCTCAGTTTTCTGTATTATAGAGCACTCACTTTTGTGGTACTTCAGGTAGTGATGCCTGAAATCTCAGTCAATTTGGGTCACGGAAGGTCTATGTAAATCATCTATAAATGAATTCATTGTGGATATTATAAAAATAAATCTGACACCTGAGCCTGTGGGCAAATATACCATATAAAGAAATTATAGCCTAAAACAGTGATTGACCTAAGGAGAGAACTGTTAAAAAAAAAAAAAAAGTCAAGAGTATGGTGTTTTTTTAATCATCCTTCCTTAAAATTACTTCAGACTAGACAGCCAAGGACAGCACCTAGGATGGATGAGTGCAAATCCCTGGGATTTGGTGCCCCGAGGCTCCCAGCACTTTGCCCTTCCATCATTCTCTCTTATGACTTGTTCTCTCCATTGTTTTATATGTTGTTGTCTTCAAACAGAATAGCTGGTCTGCTGGTCAAGATAGACACATAACAGGCACTGCTCATGCATCATGAAAATTTAGTGCCATAATAGATAATGAAGGATGTTTTATGAGAGGAACTGGGGAGAATTTTGTTGAGAAGGGATGTCTGATTTGAGTCTTGGAGAATGAGTTGTTTGTCAGAAAAGGGCAGTGGACAGCTTCACATGCCAAGCAATAGGAACAGCATGCACAAAAACCGAGAACGGAGTCCACTGTGACCCTTGTGATTTCAGCAGCTCTTTGCTAATGTCCTCAAGGAGTGCTTGTGGTCTCCTGGGAGTAACTCTGCAGGGGGAGTAGGATGACTTCACTCTGGGTAGATCCAAACATTGTCATGTGCACCTCTAGGAATAGCTCCAGGAAGTGGGGTAGCTAGAGAGGAAGGACCCACAAACAAGGGAATACTTACCTAGGAGTATGGGCAAGAGGCACCGTCCTTGTAGTCCCGGCTCTAAGTATCATTGCCATCTCTCCTCAGTCATCTCTTGGGCTTTAGAATGAAATGCTTCTGTACATTATAAATGCTAAGGCAAATGAAGAGGAATAAAGTATTCTCTTGAAACGATCTCAGGTCATCCTTTGTACCTAGTCAAACACAACACCCTGAAGAATTTGAGATGGAGCCAACTTAAACATTTTTTTCTTTGTTGTTCTGTTTCTTACTTCTCCACACTTTGGGGTGACCCTGAGAAAACAGGAAGCAATGAAATAAGGATTTTATTATGAAATATTTATCACAGCTTGTAACTTTAAATATGTATGTGTACATGTGCATACATGTGAATAATTTCAGAGCACTTTCTCACATATCTAGTTCAATCACCAATGTGTCCTGTAATTTCATTATAGTTCCTACATTATCATGGTTCCAAGACACAAATAAAAATCCGAGATTCAGAGGATCCACCATGAGGCTAATAAACAGAGAAGCCACTTTTAACTAAGTCTTAATATTTTCCCTTATGTTTTGGTAATGTAAATTAAATACTATATAATAAAAAAAAGCATTTTTTTTCTTTTTTTTGCAGCACCGAGGATCAAACCCACACAGGCTCACACATGCTAGGCAAGTGTTCTACCCCGGAGCTACAACCTCAGCCCCTAATCACTGATTTTGATTTTTAACTAAACAATTTCTCTGGTGCAACAGTGTCTGAAGGATTTGAAAAACGTTTTCATGGATTTATTAGTCTCTCTTGCATCTGAAGTCCATTTTGCTTTACTGTTTACCTAATCTTTCCAGTCACACTGTAAAAGATGTCATCACCCTTCCATCTGTAGAGGGTTTAATGTACACAGTGTGAAAATCTAGCACAGAGCAAAGCTGTAATTTGAGCCTATCTCCTGATCCAAGTCTGTAGCTTTATCTCAACATTACACTGAATCTCACTTAATTTTTTTTAATAAAAGAAAGAAAAATTTCTCTGTAGTATTTCCCCCAGTGGTTGCCATTCAGAGCTGTTTGAAAATTATTTAGGATTCATCTGTTCATGGATGCACATGATATATGAAAATATAAGTCAGCCATTGTGATCTCAAGAAGTCACTACCAAGGAAACATTTCAGAAAACATATGGAATAAGCACTTTATATCTCTATTAATGCAAGTCTGTTATATCTTATTGCTTAAACTTTTTTAGTTATCACTGACAAGTTTATTGACCTTAAAATGATATTTTAATTTGGAGTTATTTTTTGTTATTGATCTGCTCGTATATGTTACAATTATTTCAGTTTTATTTAGTGCTTTCTCTATAATAGTTAGTTGCTGGAAAAGAAACATTTAAGTAATATTATGTGTACCTAGAAATGTCACCATTGAAAAGGAGGATGAAGTGTCATTCATGCCCAGCTGATAGGGTCCCTGGTAGACAGATTTTGCTTTTCCATATCTCAACCTCTACACTTAACTTTGGTGACTTTATTGGGGCCAATTCAGATGCATCTCATGATATTTTATTGAACAAGGTTATATATAATAGTTAACAAAAATTAGAAGCAAATTTTAGTCCTGAAGAAGTTTACATTTTCATTAGGAACTTTGCATATGAAGATGATGGTTTAACTCACACTATAGAGCTTTAATTAAAGCCTGTATTTGTGAAGTAATTATAGGGTTAACTCCATCAGAGGAGTCAGAAGGAAGTGTTTACTTGGGGCCAAGATAACACTGGAAGATTGCAAAGAGGAGAGAATCAGGGGAGGCAGCAGTTGAGCATGTAGACTCTGGCACCAGAGAGTTCTGTGTTCAAATTTTGATTGATTTCAACCTTTAATTTCTCTGGGAACCTTGCCCCACCAGGTTGAGTGCCTACCTAAGCTCTCTCCATTTTTACTCACTTTTAAAGTAAGAGATGTGTATTTCAAAGAATTGTTTTGAATGTTAAATGAAGTGATAAGATTGGCATAGCACCTGGCCCAAAATAATGAATAGATCAATGGATACTGCTATCATTGTTGTTGTTGTTGTTGTGATTAAAATTAAAACACCAACTTTGCCTCTGGGAGTCATAATTCATAGTTTTTTTCTTAATCCACAGATTTTAAAATCATAAGTGCCCAAATATAGTTCATATTGCCAATTTAAAAGCTTATCTTTGTTTTATGCTTCTATTGTACTATGATAATGTATTTGTTGCTTGACTTTTCAGGACTGGTTTGCCTGATGTTTGTTCTTGCTAGAATTATGACATATCAATCTGTCTAGTTTTTTAATTTTCATAACATCTTTCTTGCAAAGACCTCTATTTTACTTCAGCTGTGTCAAGGTGGAAATATGAAAGATTTGAGTTTATAGTATCTTTTTGAGAAGTAATATTTTTATTATTGAAGTTTATTTGCAGTTAACAATGTAGATGAACATTATATGAAGTAGGCTAATAACTAGTCATTTATTTTTTAAATCTTTAATTTTCCTAAATATCAAACGACAAAGTGAGGGATATTATAAACTACATAATAGCAGAAAAATTAGTTTATTTAGGGGTTTTATCATGGGTCGTCTTCATTTCTGGGATTTATACTTGAAATTTAGCCCATCTCCTGAAATTGTATTCAGACTTGCCCCATGTGTATGTCTTTTCCAGGAAAAGGATTCATATGTCATCAAACCCTCAAAGAGATTATTAAGTCACTCATTAAGAAAGATAACACCCCTTACCTAAGGGGACACCAGTCTCCCAAGCCAGTTATATTGGTGCTGCTTAAATAAAGAACAGGTTTTTATTCTCTTTTTACTAAATTTAGTAGACAGAATTGGAAGAGATAACTGAATATTTGGTTCTGGCAATGGGGATGGTTCTAATAATTACATCAGAAAATACCTTGTACTTACAATATAATGTATAGTGTCTACACACAGTTCTATCATGATATGTCATATCATTATATGTCTTTTAAACACTTGCATATATTTTCCCTCCCTTTTCATACAACAAATATTTGCACATCTCTGGGCTGCACATGTGCAAGGCAGGACATAGAGATAAATAGGGCATGAGTTCTTCCTGCTGCAAGGGAGGCCAGGTGGGGATACTAATCCCCATTTTACAGTTGAGGGGATTAAGCCTTGGCAAGGAAGTTACTTGCACCTAGTCCTATAGGAAGAAAGTAGTCAGGAGGAGATCCAAGCATAACTCTTCTGAATCAAAATTGAGTTTTTGAGACTGCAGCATTTTTCTGTTGCTTAGCATATAACTATTACCTGTACATTGTAATTTATTTCTCTTATATGTGAATTTAAAATGTCATATTTGTTCTGCTTCCATTATTGCCGTTTTGAATGATGATTCATCAGTGCAGTGGCCTATTTTAGTGAACCACAATAGCTTGGGTAGAAAGAAAAAAAAAAGATCCAACATACTCAGGAATGGAAAGCAGCCATCTTTTTGTAGCAAAAATTGCAAACATCTGGCAATTACTCTGTTCTACCTCCCTTGAAAAAAAGAATTGTCCCTTCAACTGGAGCCTGCTGCTGTGTTTAATCAAGGCAGCTCTGCAAGCTTTAAGGAGCAATAGGTTTTGATTCAAGGAGGCTATTGCCTCACCCAGTTGGCCAGAAACTCTTTGGAAAATACACCATTTAATGCTCCCCGCATGCTACTGTGTTATATAATGATAATATTGATAATATGGCAATTAATAACTCTAGTAAATCTCCTTTTGCTTTTCTGCCCAGCTCATTTGTTGGCTCTTATAGCAGGTTATATATTTTGAAAGTTAACTCTTCAGGTCAAGTTTATCTCTCTCCATCTTAAGCTTTTTGTATTTCTGATCAGAGATTCAACCACATTGATGCAACCAATAATTGCTGACTCGATTTTAGTATGAACTGGTCTGATAGAATGCTGAAGGGACAAATCCATTGATCATATAGTTGAAAAGCAATCCACCATGGTTTTGGTCCCCTAGCACTCCACCCTTATTTCTTATTCTGATAATTGTTTATGAAACTAGTTCTTCCCTCACTGGCAAAAGTCACCTCTGTTGTCAGGGGAAGTGAGAATGGCTGGTGGTTTACAATAAGTGCTGAGAGTTAGAACTTCTGCATTTTTCTCTTGGGGCTGATACCAGTTTTTACTCTGGCCTTGACCAATACATTTACCTTTTTATTCCCCATTTATCTTTCTCTTCCTCTGTCTGCCTGAAGGGTAGAGGTGGACCTTTCCCCAAACAGGTTGTCACAACCTTACTACCTACCAGTGTTCCCTTTAGTTGAGCATATTTTGGCCAATCATTATCAGTAATTGCTGAGGAATGGAAAAAACCATAATAGGAAAACATTGGTTCAATGGCATGATGATTCTCAAAAACAACCTCGCACACTAAAAATAGGTTGTTTTCTAGTGTTAGCATATCCTAGTACTTGGAAATCTTTGACATTCACCGGGGTCTTTGAGTATTTTGTATACTTACCTTTTGCTTCTGTGTCTTTGGTGGAACTGTTTAACACCCTAAGCCATAAGTTTTTCCTTGATGAAATGATTTTGTTAGGTTCTTCCTCCTGCCAGTTTTCCCAACATTCCCAAACTTTGCAAAATTTTCTCATTGAACTAAATGTACTGGGGGAGAGGTAGTACTGTGACTACTGAATTTTCTGGTAAAGAAGAAAGAAAAAGTGCAAGAAGTACTAACAACCCTAAATGTGTGCCTTTTCCAATACAGCTATTTCTTACAGAGCTAGATAGAATCATGATCTCTGTGAAGCTCAAAAATGAGGGTGCTCCATTTTCTCTGTCTTCATCCAGCAGTTAGTTCTGGGCTTTCTCCCTTATGTGTACATTTGAGAACTAGAACTCTTCCTATAGCCAGCGTTGTAACCCATAGACTTTTTTCCTTGAGGACCCGGCTAACATGGAAAAGGTTGTGCAGTTCCTTACTGTATTTTTCTTCTACTCCAGGGCTGACAATCTATAAACTTCCTGGAATATAGCCAGTGTTATGATGCTGGGGCCTTAACTGTCAATGGTGATCCTCTGCCCTCCCTCTGTAAAGAATCACCTGGTGATCTACAGAATTATCCACAATAGAGGTGTTTCTGAGTGGCACAGTTCTAAAAAAATGACATTTAGGTAGGCCCACCCCACTACTGATGTATGAGTCCCACCATCTCTAAGAAGTTGTTTTTCAGGCTTATTCGGTATTTCTAGTGTAACCAGTAGAAATGGTACTTTTTGTCTCTGGACAGTTGTGATTTTTGGAGTTTATCTTTAATCTGATTTGAATTCTAT